ACGTAGCAAAGAGAATACGTACCAGAACTAAACGAGTTATTATTGGAAGAGCTTGAGTCATCGGATTCGACGACTGAAGCTGGGATAGATAAACCAGAATGGTGGGAACAACTGCCTAACACTAGGTCGGTCATAAAAACGTTCCCCTTCTCAACAAACTGGGCACTAAGATAAATACAGTTGAAGCAAGGTTCTAGACATCTAGTACTCGGCTGAGCGGGTGCTCCTAGGAGAAAAAGAAGAGGAGCAGGGCTACAGGCTGGAACAAGGGTCAGATTGGAAGGAAGAGAATTGGGAACCGAGTCGTGAGTTGGACGTCTGGACGTAATCCCCAGACCACGACGGAGACCTCCAGGACCCCAGCTTAGTCCCCGAGCTGGAAGGAAAGAGGAAGGCGCTCCTCTACCTCGAAATCCCTTTCCTCGCCCTTGGATTGGAGGGCGAGATGAAGACACCCTCTACTTCCACCTCCTCGGTAACCTCCTAGTAAGGCGTCTTGGGTCTCCTCCTCCGTACGAGGTCTACCGTACAACCAATACTTTGGACCAGGAGGCAGGCTTTGGATAAATCTCTCCTCTTATTCAGCATGTCTTTCCTCCTCCTCGGCAGCAATTTCATCAGCATGACCAAAGATGCGAGGGCAGGTAGACCTCCCTCGGATAGTAAGGTTTCTTTCACCCATACCAGGAGAGTTTTCAAACTAAGATATGGAGGAAGTGCACAAGCAGCAGATGATTCCATATAAGCAATATAATGTAGGTGGGTAAAACTTAATCAGACAGAAAGAACAGTGTGGCACATTACAGATATAATCATACGCATATGGCTAAATTCAGTAATGTATGGAGAACATGGTAAACAGAAGACCACATTGAAATAAAAAGAAGAAAGAGCAGGCCAAATGATGAAGAAATACCAGTAGTACGTACCTGAGGAAAATGAGCTTCGGGAAGGTTAGAGGATGGTGAGCAGAAAGCAAATGCGGCAAGCAATGGGTATGCTGATGAATGGTTCTGAAAATAAAAGTGGCAAATTATGAGGAAATTGAAGTTAAAAGGATTATACCCGCGAAACCAAAAGGCAAGGGTATTAGGGTAATTTCAAAGAAGACAAGACAGTTGAGAGACGCTTTTTTGCAGTGGAAAGTTAATGCTAATACAGCGTCAGAAGGACAGCATAACACGTTGCACTCATTGGAGGAGGTTATGTGGAAAGGTAATCAATAGACGGAAGGAGAATCGTCTCTCATATAAGAAGAACCGTTTCTGGATAAACGTCAGGAAAAAGGAACCGTTTCTGGAAAAAGAACGCGAAACCACGCCACAAATGTAAGGCATCTCGGACAAGGTCATAACCGAGGTATCGAGGGGAATCTCGGCTACCTCCTACAACCAAGATGAGAAGCCGGGATTCAAATCGAAATACGTGCGGCCAAAATTGCTAGCACTCGAGGTAAAACACAGACGTCAGGGAACAGAGCTTGGACATCCCGGCACCCTGAATACTCAGTCTACCGGGCTGGGGGCAACAGTTATGGACTTGAGTAAGGCCCACATACGCAGGAAGCACAAACCGTACAAGCCCAAAGGTAAGCTCTGTAAATGGGAGCTAAAGACCACATGTATGACTGATCTTTCTCTAACCCTATTTTATACAATCACAACAGCGCGCACACACACAACCTTTGGCTAAGGCCGTCATATAGTGTGTAGTGATCCGCTGCCCCAAGATACTTAATTCATAGGTATCTAGAGAGAAAGCACTAGATCCAACATCCATAACCTGACCTACGGTTAGACATCTCTGCCTCTGCCTTAGGCAGAACAGGTAGAATTTATTTGTAGATGAATAAAGTCATTTATAATAAATTATGTCCAATGTTATATTTGCATTTTTGTTTATAAAAGGGATTCTCGGTAGTTAAAAACTTGTAGAAGATAAGATGATAGCAATTAGGGGCGATAGGTAGAGGAGATATTTTTTTTTACCAGAAAAAAAAGTTTTTTGGGAATATGATGAGAAATCGTTTTTTCGATAAGTTACGAAAAGGTGTTTGGTATGCTAATTTTTTACGAAAAAATTAGGTTAATTTTACTGATGCTATGTTTGGTTGATTGTAAAATATTGATTGGAATCTGAACCGAAATGACAAAATTACCCATTTTTACACATCTGTTGATATATTGTATAAGGACATTTTTGTCTAAAGGTGAAAATGTGTTTTTCACTTGGTGAGAAAAAATAATACCATAGGTAAGATGAGATTATTTTTTTTCATGTATAGTTAAAAATAGGAATGATAGAGAAAAAACTATCCCGAAATAATTTTACTATTACTTGTACCAAACATGGTAAAAAAGGATCCAAACTATTTCTCATAATTTCCCCCAAAATACTCATACCGAACACCTAAGGGTTGTTATAGGTGACCTTCCTTTTCTGTAGTACATGGTTTTTAATGCTATAATTATGTAAGCATAATTAATCCAATATTTGAAATCATTTTATAGAAAGAATAAATTCAGATACTGATTCACAATGAAGTTTCATATCATGTTTCAATTTCTTTGCATGCCTTTCTGGATGGAACTTATAAAAATTGTATATCAATGCGTGTGTGTGAGAACATTGATACAAATGGTAAAAACAATCATTACGTAATGTTATAACGAATGCGATAGAAGATAATATATGTAGCTTGCGTGAATAAGGATAAATTGTTATTTCTGTTTCTTATTTTCTTCTCTACATTGAAATTACTATCGACTATGGATTGAAATCTTTTCAATGGCCTACTACTATATAACAGAAGCCAATTCACCATGTCAAGGATATTAGGAACCGATCATTTTTCATCTCATTATCCTCGTCTGAAATTGCAATTTTTTTTCTAGAAAAATATTGAAAAGATATGGTAAATGAAAACACACAAGAACACTACAAAAAATTTGGTAAATACCAACTTTTTTTTGAGGTGGTTATGCCCTCTAAATGACATTTAGAGGCAGTTCTTGTTCGGAACTCGGTTTCTTTAATCTCGGCAAAGAAATCTTTGCGGAAGTCAATCGTCGAATTAAGAGCTCAGCTCAAACAGAGAGGTCGGCCTGAACTTACCAGGTTGGCCTATGAGCAATGAAAAAACAAAGACACAGAGGACAGAGAGAGAGAGAGAGAGAGAAAACACAGACAAATTTTAATGTGGGGAAACATTCTCTAATGTGAAGAAGTAAAATTTCACAGGACACTAGTCCAGAATCAAACTTCCACTATGAAAATAATGGGTTACAAAGATCAAAATTCACCAACAATGGTGGTACACTCAAACCTCACCTACAATGGTGATTTTATCTCAAACTTTCTTAAGGGGTTCTAACAATCAAGCTTCTCCCTAAAGATGCTCTCAATCAAAGTGCTGAGATTTTCACTCAAAATCCTCAAAAATCTCACAAGCCAACCTTTTATCTAACCTACCTCCATCCACAACTAATGTATTTATAGAGGAAGGAAGAGGTTTAGGGTTATAGGGTTTCTTAAACCCCTCAATGGGCTTTGGGCTTAGTATTAAGGAGGAAGTCCAACAGTTCTTTCGCGGTTACATTGATTCGAGGCAGTTACGGCATAACTGTCTCTAAATGTATAATAAAGACAATTAAAATAACCGTCCACATTGGACATTTAGAGGCAGTTGCGGTATAACCGCCTCTAAATGTAGCAATTAGAGGCGATTATATTGTAACTGCCCTAATATTAGAGGCGGACTGAGGCTTGCTCATACAATAACCGTCCACATTGGACATTTAGAGGCAGTTGCGGTATAACCGCCTCTAAATGTAGCAATTAGAGGTGGTTATATTATAATTGCCCTTAATATTAGAGGGAGTTAAAATAACTGCCCCTATTGAACTTGAACATTTAGAGGCGGACTGAGGCTCGCTCATACAGTTTCGAGCAGTGATATTCTAAGAGGGAGATTTCTTTATTCAGTCGTTGGATCGTCCTCAAATTTGGTCAATGTGTTCTTCTGTAATACTTTAATTTGACTGTTCAAATTTTTAAGTTGAATCATCTGGTGTTATATATAAATTTCAGAAGATGATTGTTGCACATTGAAAAAACCATCTCACATTTGCTTTGAAATCCCATATTGGATGACCCTTGTTCCTCCTTCTCCATTTCTTTCTAAATAAGAACCCACATTATCCCACATATACACAAAGTTCAATAAGCTATTTATATTCAACTAATTCAAAATAAAAATTGAAAATATATATAATATTAACTTTTAACAGTTCTAGTTTTGTTGAAAATAGAAGAAAATAAAAATCACTTTGTGGTGTAACTATTAGCAATTAGTAACAAGCAAAATTATAAAATTGCTATTATTTTTACCTAATTATCACATTATTAAGGCGTTATTTGGAGGCGGTTAAAATAATTGTCTCAAAATATATTTGTGAGGCGGTTAAAATAACTGCATCAGATTGTCGTTTGGAGGCGGATATTCTAGCGATTCATGAAAACTGCCATAGATTGCCTCTTGACGGTGGTAACTTCGATGGTTCATTAATCGTCTGCCGAAGCAATTAGAGGCGGTTTTAACTGCCTCAAAATACTAAAAGAATCGCCTCCAAATATCAGTTTTTTATAGTGGAAAGGGGAAAAAAAGGCTCAAATGATAATTAATGGAAGGGTTTATTGATAAAGTTATCTCCAACAACCTCAAAACTACGTGTTTTGAAAGTTGAGAGAATTAATGAAGGATATTTTGATAAAATTTATATAAACAGAGAAACAAATAAAATTTCTAAAATATCATTCATTAATTCTCTCAATTCCCAAAGCGATGTGGTTATGGGGTTGCTGGAAATAACTTTTTCTCATTTCCCCTTGATAGAATCATATAATTTCTTTTGAGAGGCATTAATCATATAATTACTTTAAATTACATCTGTTTTATAAAAATCTCAGTACATTATTTATTGGAACCAATATTACAAAGTCTAATATTTTTTGAGAAATTTTTTGAACCATTCTGCAGACAGTTTTTGATATCTTTTTAAGTCATTGTTATAATCCACAAAGTTTATTCCAAAACGAACTGTGTAGCCTTCAGCCCATTCAAAATTGTCCAATAATGACCACGCAAAGTATCCCCTTACATTTACTCCTTTCCTTTTATATAAACCAACAAAATAGAAAGTATTAAGATTGCAAATTAAAACAAAGAAGGCTATGTAGACATAAAAAATAACAACTTACCTAATTGCTGATTGGAGATAGAAGAGATGATCATAATAATAGTCAATTCTGTAAATATCCACAAGGGCTTCATCCAATGATAGTGTTGGATCGTTAAACTCATCTATACCTACAAAATAAGTCAGGTAAGTGAAATATTCTACTACAAAATAATATATTTATACTTGGCCATGACTGCCGATGCATCCAGATAAAGAGTTGTTCACATATCCAAATAATAAGTCACCATATGAAACATTGTTGTATTTACCATTTTCAGTAATGTAAATCAATGGATTGTTGTACTTTTTCTTGATGTAGAGCAACAGTTCTTGAAATCCTCTTGGATAAACATATAACCAATCCGAAGCAGCCTGCAAATATAATTATAAATATATATAGGTTTCTTTTTTATTTTAAAGATAGATTAAACTCAATGCCTATCTACAACTTGATGTGGCTACACTTGTACCTTTGGACCTATGGGTATTCCATTGCGCTCATCTTCCATCACAAAAAAAAAAAAAAAAAAAAAAAACATACCACTATCAAATTCAACATATATAATTTGAATAAATTAATTGATGGATAAAGGTGTCCTTACATGTAAGGTTGACAAGAGAATCTGTGAGGTAACTGCGTATGATATTGCTTAAGTGAGGTGCATTGGCAGCATATTGAGATGTGTAGTAGTTTAGTCCAAGAAAATCAAACGAACCATTGAGTAGGTGGGCTTGTTCTTTAGAGAACTTTGGCAATCGTTGTCCAACCAGGGATCGCATGCTTTGCGGATAGTCCCCCGTTGTTAATGGTGCCATAAACCTGCAACCAATCTTATAAATGAAAAACTTTTCTGTGACCATGAGTTGTGCCTTGTGACTATCACAATACTCAATTTGTTAGGAATTAAGTGTGAGGGATAAATTTAATCCTACATTAATTAAGAACGGACTAAGTAAAAATCATCTCAGTGAAAGGACTTATAAACTTAATCTTTCAAAGTTTTGAGTTAATATGTTACGCTGTCGTGTGTCACGTGACATATTATGCATTTTTATAAGCACAATAAAAATTAGTTTATGTCTCAAAATGGAAAATTTTTATAAAAATACTGGGATCAAAATGAAATCAAAGAAATTAAGAAAAAACAGAACAAAAAGAATTGAGTTTCACAATAACAATACTAATAATTTATGATATCACATAATCTTCAACCAATGAATGAAAAAAATATGAATGCTTTGGTAAACAATGCTCCATTTAATTTTGCATATAACTTGGTGTTAAGATCATAATTTTATATAGGCCCAACATGCAATTAGCCACTAACCATCCAAACATGAAGTCAAGTGCTCGTCCCACAGCTTTTTGATCGAATATATTATCTGAAAACGGCACAAACCAGTGAGATATCAAGGTGATGCCTATCCAACCGCTTTGAGATGTGTTTTGGCTTTTAAGTAACAATTGTACCTGCAATATTTTTAGATCCTCCAAATTCAGAATTAAAGTATAATACATTTTAGAAAACGTTATCAAAGTTCTCATCAAATTAAAGCTATAATGGACCTGATACTTTGTCTTGTACACTTGGACAGCTGCTGCATGGGCAAGAAGTAGGTGGTGTGAAACTAAATAGGGCTCTGTCCCTGAATCACCGCCGGTGCAGTTTAGATTCATCCAATTGGAACATCGACCAGGTGGAAACATCCCTATTACATACCCACCTGTGCTATAAGTTGATGGCTCATTTACAGTAATCCAATGCTTCACCCTATCTCCAAATTCCTTGAAGCAAAGCTCCGCATAATCTCGAAAATCATTTCTAAAAGTACATAATAGAAAATAAATTATAAATTGTTATAGGTATCCTCTGATAGGACAAGACTCAGATTGTTCTACTGATACATATTTTAAGGGATTTACAATTTTAAAAAAAAAACAAAAACAAAAATGAAGAGGCACGAAATTCAATGTGTGTGTAGGAAAAACTTTTTCCATCATGTTTACATTTTCCAAAAATTAATATTCAGTTTTTATTAAGGAAAATATTACTCTCCTTTCACGTTAGATAACTTCTCTTATGCTCTCTCACTTCAATTTTCGCATCTTACTTTTTTTTTTCTTGTAATGGTGGGACCCACCCATTTTCTCTCTACAACATAAGATAATTATATTATGTAAAAGAAGACTAATAAAACCCTTTTATTAAAGACAAGTTTATATATATGAAAATAATTTTCTTATGAAAAAAATTAATTCATGTAATAGAAATAAAATTACAAGTGGGTCCTCAGGTAAGAGGAGAGAAAAAATAAAGGTGGGACCCACCCTTTTTATGTGTGTGTAGAAAATTTGTTTCTCCTATGTAACATAAGAGAAATATAACTCTCTCTCTCTCACACACACATATATATATATATGATAAAAATATTTCTCAAGAAGCTTGAGATATATTTATCTCTGTCGTTTTGTTTATTTATTTCTTTATATTAATTGATTCACCTTTGAATGATTATGATTCTCTTTTTTCTCTCTCTTCCTTTATCACCATTGATCCATCTTTGTACAATTATGATTTAGTAGCCGGAGATAAAATATTAATTGATTCACCTTTGAATGGTTATGATTCTCTTTTTTCTCTCTCTTCCTTTATCACCATTGATCCATCTTTGTACAATTATGATTTAGTAGCCGGAGATAAAGTTATCTCAAGCAACTTGAGAAACGATAAGCCCTGTATATATATATATATATATATATATATATATATATATATATATATATATATATATAAATATCTCTCAAGCAGCTTGAGATATATTTATCTCTGTCGTTTTGTTTATTTATTTCTTTATATTAATTGATTCACCTTTGAATGGTTATGATTCTCTTTTTTCTCTCTCTTCCTTTATCACCATTGATCCATCTTTGTAAAATTATGATTTAGTAGCCGGAGATAAAGTTATCTCAAGCAACTTGAGAAACGATAAGCCTTATATATATATACATATATATATATATATGACATGTTATTTTTATATCGATGTAAGAATAAGAAGTCTTATATTAAGTCTTGGTTATTGATTTACTTGCATCTAACTACTTAAATATCTAATAAATCAAAACTGTTAGATATAAATAGGATCAACGACCAAGATTAAGAATATACATTTTACCTGTATAAAATGATGTTAATGATATATGTATACAAATATGGGGTTGTAAGTTTACCAATATATATATATATATATATATATATATATATATATATATATAGAAAGAGAGAGAGGTAGGATCCTTTGACTCCAGTGTCAAATTTAAAGTTTGACACCTCATCTGAAAGCAATTAGATCAAAAAAGATCAATGGTGTCACACGCTTACAAATCAGAGTCGTTGATCTTTTTTGATCTAATGACTTTCAGATGAGGTGTCAAATTCAAATTTGACACTGGTGTCAAAGGATCCTACCTTATATATATATATATATATATATATATATATATATATATATATATATATATATATATATATATATATATATACATTTCTGCAGCTGCTATACGTGCAGCAATCAAATACTTGCCATATATATACGTGAAAGCATTAATTGCTGGGAATCATAACCATACAATAAATGAAAACATTAAATGTGGAGAATCATAACCATACTCCTGTTGTTGTTGTCGCCGTAAAGCGGTTGTAGAAATAATTTTATCTATCTATCTATATATATATATATATATATATGGGGTGGCGGGGGTTGTACATAAGAGTCAACTTCTATCTAATGAAAAGAAAAGTATAAGAAGTAGCACAGAAAAAAATTAATAACTATCACCCTTAAGTCATTTATTGAAATAGTTTTTTCGAATGTGCATGATTATGAAAGCTTAATTAGCCTATTATCATTCATGTGTAGGTAGGTTAAAACTACAGTCTTTTATTAGATTAAGAAAATAAGTCTTGTCATTTGTTAATCTTCTTTTTAAATAACAATTTCCATTTTAGTAATTAATAATCTCAATGAATATAATTATATGGTTTTCAGGGGAGAATTAAATTGTGTCACTCACACTATGTGAGGGCTTAAGAAGCCTCCATATTCATCTTCCAAGGCTTGGGGAAGATCCCAATGAAAAAGGGTCACAAATAGTTGCAGACCTGAAAAATTAATATTTAATCAATTATGATTGTTGTAACTGCTTGAGAAATGCTAAAATGCAAACTTTAATTCAAAGTCGAGTTAAAAAAAGTTTGAATTGTACCATTAGCCACTAGCTCGTTGATGAGGTTGTTATAATATTTGATTCCTTCTTGGTTTATACCTCCACTTAGCCTACCTTCTTTATAAATAATAATAATAATAACTTCAATGGTTAACTGGAAACATATATGTATAATTGATCGAGTAAAGGATAGTAATTGATCAACATCCAACTTACTTGGTAGTATTCTAGACCAAGAAATGGAGAATTTGTATGCATCCAAATTCATATACTTCATGATCCCAACATCTTCCTGTGATATATATGAACAACAGCATATCATTTCATTGTGAAGAAAAACAAATGAAATTCAAAACAAATTGCCGTAGGAAGTCGATGTTAGAGAATAATATAAATCATTAAAAATTCTCTCATCCAATATTTTAAGATTTTAGGTTGAAGTGGTTCATTACATAGTATCAGAGCTTTAGTGACCACGATGTCACGAATTCGATGTTCACCACCCCGCATTTGTAGAATTAAATAACCATAAGGTAAACTAAAATGAAAAAAATTGGGCCTATACAATATCTACGTTTCAAGTCTAAGTGGCTCTTGTGTGAGGGTGTGTGTTCGAGAATAATATAAACTATTAAAAAGACTTTCACTCAATACCTTAAGATTTTGGATTGAAGTGATTCATACAGGTTGATTTATTGAATTTTCATTTTCATTAACTATAATCCTTGCTCCTATAATGCACCTATTAACATATGTTATACTTGTCAATCGAGTCTCATCGTGGGACTATTCCAGGACACACTGTAGCTTAATTAATAATTAATCAAAAAGGGTGAAATTGTTCGAATTTTTTTATACGGTAAAACTCTCTCGTGAATTGAAATTAAATGCATCTTAATTCTTAACATTGGCTTTGTGCATTTAGAAAAATTAATTCCTATATATAAATTCTAACCCAATGTTTAAATTTAATTAGTCAAAACATAACTATTTAACTGATTATCGCCTTTGTTGGGTTAAATTGTTTGAATTCAGTTCAAGTAATTCTTGCTATCAATTGATTATGTATTGCTACCGTTGGTCGCTGCAAGCTCAATATGTTCTCTTAGGGAGGATACATATCTCTATATAGGTATCACCGCTAACAGAGGTAGAGACCAAGTTATACGACGATGATGAAATCCAACTCTAAGAATTTTTTTGGGGGGGGGGGGGGGGGGGGGGGGGGGGGGGTGTTGAGGCAAGGGCTTAAGAAATTGACAGGGTAACAGCACATATAGATAGATCCCCTTTGCTTGGTGATGGATGGTATTTATAGGGGGAGAGCATGCCTTGCTCGCATGGGGGGCGAACCAGGTCAACTCTCCTTGGGGATTGCCATTGGCTCCTGACATTGCTGCAGTAACAACACTGTAGTTTCTGTTGTGCTGGTGGCAGTCACAACTGTTGTAGCTGTGGAGAATAAGCTCTTATTTAGGGAGTCTGAGGAGGCTACCCGAGGGAAGTAGTATCCCAACATAAGATAGTTTGGTGTCTTACCTTGGAAACATTGTCTTGTGGGGACAGAAAGGAGGAAGGATTAGTAACCTTTGGTTAGTAGGGCTGACGTGAATAAGAGGAAGGGTTAGGGCCTGCCTTAATGAATCAACCTGTAAGGGGCCATTCAGAACATATTCATACCTTGTATCGATGATATTCATCAATAGGGACATCTGCATTTCTTTTATCCTTTATTTTATCTGCATGTCAATTCACCATTGAATAAATATAAGTTATGCATGTACATAATTCATTATTCTACAAATAACTATTAAATTTGGATAAGTATGCTTGAAGTTAATAACTTACAGAATATAATTATAATTTTTTTGCAGTTCTATGTATAGTTATGACTTAGCATTTTCTCATTCTATTTAGTATGACTGAGTGGAGATACCTGGGTACTTATGGGTGAAGGTATCCCATATACTTGCTCCTCTGCCACCTTCCTTTGCTGCACCTTCGTACTAGATTTGTATATAATCACCACAACAAATACATGTAATAAACTTAATTACATAGCTAGAAAAGTAATTAACTTGTGCTGTAGAAAGATGTTTCAAATTGTGATAGCATGAATTAAAATTTCAAACCCAATTAGTTTCACACTTAGGGAAAAAATTAAAATAAAGAGTAATAATGTGTACTTGGTATGCGGAGGATGCTGTTCCAAAGATAAAGCTTGTTGGAAAATTGCTCCGATTTAGCGAAGCAACGTTGAGAATGGGAGCAATAGCATCTGTGAAACTCACCAATGGCACCATGATGATGGTACAAAGAGTAAAGAGCCCCAGAAGAAAAAAGGCGTTGAATGCCATATCATGTGATGATTTCGATTAATTGATGGCATGCATAACATTTGTCTCGGATATGGTTCAGCTCCCTTTTGTCCTTTTTTTCTGCTCAATCTCATCGCGTGAAATAGATTTTTTTTGTGTGGACAGTTTTGGTAATAAATTAAATTTTAATTTAAGAGTAATTGATATCATTAGGAGAGTTAATTTTGTAAATTAAGAATGAGTAATTAGCATGTATTAAAGAGTATGGCAGGATCCTCAAAATTAAGGAATTAATTTAATTTATAAATATAATTATTTAATCGAAAAATTATATAAAAAAATAGTTTGATTTTCAAATCCTTTTAATATTTTGTATTCATGCATGCGAAATTTACGCAACTTTTTTAACTTTATTTTAATATTAATTATTTGACTCATGAGTGTGTGACTCAAATGGTAAGCAAGGAAGATCAACTTTATCTTTGTAGGGATATATACCTTTATTAACTTAGTCATTTAATGTGTTATATAAGGAAGTATAATAAAACAAAATTTCTTAAAATAATTAATTTAATTTTAATGTGATTTGAAGAAGAGAATTTATCACATGAAAACACTAGCAAAAAGTGGTTTTAATTGAAAGTGAATTTTGAAAATTATTCAGCAGAGAAACGTTTGTCCCAATCTGTCGAAACATTCAGACTACACAAAAAAATGACGAATCCATATTTATCTCAATAGGTTTCCGATCTGTCGGGATCATTGTTTTATTGTGTAGGATAGACTGGATAGAGTCCCGGATTAGATTTTCAATTCCGCATGAAAGTATTTTTACTGGAATAGGAGGGGTGAGTATGTAACATCTGTCCTACAGAATTCAAATGATGTTTAGTTTGTCTTTATCATGATTAGTTTAATTTATTTTAATAGTTTGATTTATCTTAAAAGGTAAGTGACCATAAATTGATAGTCCACCAATTACAAGAACAACAATTACGGTCTTCCTTTTCAATTATCTTTTCTCTCTCTTATTTTTCTCTCTCTTATTTTTTTTTTATCCGTGATCTAACTTTTCTCTTCTTCTCTTCTAATCTTCTTCCGTCTCTAAATTCTATCTCCTTCAAAATTTTATTATTGTAAAGTACTTGTAAGACACTTCGACGCTCAAGTCAGTTTTTGAGTAACGAGCTTAAATTTAATGCAAAAAATGAATGTACCTAAGTCTTTGTCTCTTTATCTATAATATGTTGACATGACTTGCTTGTAAACTCAGTTGATCGTCTTTGTGTGGCAGTATAGTTGATATGCTTTATGATTGACTTATTCAAGTGGTCTTTTCATCCTACCCTTTCACGCGAGATGCCTCTTAGTGAGCTATCATGCTGAGACTTAGATGAAAGCTTGTCTTTGTCATTCGGTCATTGAACCGGATGAAAAGGTTGACAGACCCGGATAACTTAGGGATTGTGAGTATGCATATCTGACATATTTTCTTAGGGGAAAGATTCGTTTACAAATTTTACAAATTACACTATGTTTTACCGGGAGAACATAGTGTGATTAGTGTTTTCCGGGAGAAGATAGTGTAGTTTATAAACAAAAAAGTTTGTAAATATAGGGGGAAGGATATTGTAACAACTAAGTTGTGTTACTACCATGTTACTACCAATCAATCTCATCGTTAGATCGCTTATGTTGATCCAACGGTTATATTTATTTTTATCTTTGTATGGTTATGATTCCCCATATTTAAAGTGAAAGCATTAAATATGGGAAATCATAACCATACAAAGGTGAAAATAAATATAAAATATTAAATTTGGGAAATCATGACCATACAAAGATGGAAATAAATATAACCGTTGGATCAACATAATCGATCTAACAGTGAGATTGATTGGTAGTAACATTAGTAATAACACAACTTGATTATTACAATATCATTCCCCGTAAATATAACCTACCCCATTTTCTTATTACTTAAGATTTTAGTTTAAATCTTGTTTGACTGTAATTGTAGTAGATCCCAATGACTTTTCAAATTTTGCCCATTGAGAAAATGCTTACTGATTAGGATATTGGCCCCATATGAATGTGTTTTTGTTGTTGTTAACTTAATTCGTAATGTATTAGCGGATTATCTACCCATACCAAGATAATTTGACATCAAAAAGCCTTATGTGTGGTGTGACAAAATGAAAACAAGTTGCCTCTGTAACTGGGTCAGTTACTGACTTACTGATACAAGCCCAAGTGATACTAATAAGCAGTTGCTATTGGGCTATGAGATAGAAGAAACTTACGGCAGCCCAAACGATTATATGATTATATAGTGGGTTAATGAAGCTTAGTCAAGTCTAGTTTATTACCAGTGTTTATGGTCCGTCTCTTATGGCCCAGTGAATGTGATAGACTAGGGTTGGTTATATAGGGTGTGCATGACAACCTTTCGGGAATCATTTTTTTTTTTAATTTTGTTCCCAGGAACAGAAATGGATAGAAAACTCGTTTGGTAAAATCGGTTCATTTTTTTGTTCCCGAGATAAACCGGTTTAATTTTTGTGTTGGAGAACAGAAAAAATAATCAGAAAATTTCTGCTTTTTTATTCCCGGACACAAAATGAGAAACATTTATCTCTCTCAGTCACTCTTCACTTCTACCATCATCACCATCACCACCATCATCCTGACACGACCACCGCCACCATCGTTGTCACCGCTGTCGTACCACTAGTGCTGTCGTCACCACCTCACACCACCACGATGTCACCGCCACCATCACCACCACCTCCACTCATCACTACCACCATGCCACCGTCACCATCACCACAACTACCACTGCCACCACTATTATTGTCACCACCACCATCACCACTACTGCCATCAATCACCGCCACTGTAATCGCAACCGCCGCCGCCACCACCACCACAACGCCACCGCTATCATCACGACCACTGTCACCACCCATCACTATCATTGTCGCAGCCACTACCGTCACCACTACCGCTGCTGCACCAACCATCACCGTCACCATTACACGACCCCCGCCACTACCACCACAATCACCACCATTACACCACCTCCGCCACTACCATCACCACGTCATCGCCGCCACCACCACCACAATTACACCACCTCCACCACTACCATCACCACGTCATCGCCGCCGCCACCACCACCACCATCATTGTCACCTACCACCACTGCCACCGCCGCAGCCACTGTCACCACCACCATCATGATGATGTCATCACAACCACCACCACCATGCCACCGCTACCATTGTCGCCTCCACCAACGCCACCAACCACCATCTCCACCACCATTTTCGCCACCGTCGTCGTACCACTAGTGCCATCGTCATCTCCCCCCACCACCACAATCCCACTGCCACCATCATCACCATCTCCACTCATCACTACCACCATGCCACCGTTACCACAACTACCACCGCTGCCACCACCACAGTCACCACTACCGCCATCAACCACCACCATCATCATCGCAACCATTGCTGTCACCGCCACCGCCACCATTTCCACCACTACCACCACCACAATGCCACCGCTACCATCACCACCACTGTCACCAACCACCACTACCGCCGCTGCCACCAACCACCACCACCATTACACCACCCCCGCCACTACCATCACCATGTCATCGCCGCCGCCACCACCACCAATGTCACCTACCACCACCGCCACCGCCACCATGATGCCATCACAACCACCACCATGCCACCACTACCATTATCGCCGCCACCAACCACCATTGTCGCAGCCATTGCCACCACCTCCACCACCATCATCCCCACCACTACCACCGTCATCGCCACCATTACCACCACCATTGTCACAGCCACTGCTGTCACAACCACCTCCGCTATCATCACCACGTCACTGCCACCACCACCACCACCACTGTACCGCCGCACCACCACAACGACACCATATGAAAAGAAAAGTGTTGATCCAAATTTTTTTTATATTTAATAGAATTATTTTTCATTATATTATTTATTGTGTTATCAAACATGATTCTCATTCACAGAATAAAAATAGAATATGTTATCAAACAATTTTTTTTTTAGAAACTGTTCTAAGGCACAGAAATAGAAAAGAATTGTTTCTCTTCAAAAAACAGTGCTAGTGAATAGAATGGTTGTCATGCACACCCATAGTCACATGGAATGAACGAAGAAGGCATGCTTTATGTGAAATACACTCTCCCTCTCTCTCCCTTTCTACTCTTTTATCATTTTCCCTCTCTTAATTCTCTGATCTCCTTGGTTACATTAGTGTTTTCATTGCCACTCATGGTGGAAAATACACGACTCTGTGACGTTACCCAGTAGGTTAATGACTTACAGTTTGCTCGTCAAGCTGTACAGGAGCAAATCTCAAACCTGGAGCTGGCCCAGGATCGCCACTTCACTGCCTTGGAGCTTTCCCATAACCAACAGATGGATACAAATAACAAACGCATGGAGACCTTGCAGTAAAAATTGTTAGACATTCTCAATATCCTCCATTCCAACCAATTTTCTCATGACCTACACACTAGTGTTTTGGGATCTAGCCCTTCCCGTTCTTCAACAAATACCACCCCTGAGCCTCATCGTCAGTGACGGATGAAGCTTGATTTTCCTAGATTTGCTACCGGTGACCTAATAGATTGGTTATTTGCTGTTGAACGCTATTTTCGATTTCACAATGTACCTGCTCATGAACAATTCCTTGCCATCTCTTTCAATCTGGATCCATCTGCCTCTTCGTGGTTCCAATCGCTGGACCAAGATGGGTTACTTTCGGATTCGCCATCCTTTATCAATGCCTTACACCGCCGATTTAGTCCTACTTAGTTTGAAGATGCTTCAATGGCAATTGCTAAATTACATCAAAATGGAACAGTGGCTGAATATTATGTTGTGTATAAGCAGCTCTCTCGCAAGGTCCCTGGCCTCTTCGTCACTGTTCGCAATGGACTCTTCTTGGCTGGATTAAAGTTTACCTTTACTGCTCTATCATCGTTCATA